TTTTTTTTTTTTTTTTTTTGGTGAACATATTCATTGATTTATAACAATCTATGGACACCTCTTCTACCTACACAACAATTTTTACAAAAGTATCACCATAAATTTGTACATAACATAAATGACAGCAACTATTCAAGTAGTCCTTTCAGCATAGAAGATACAAGAAATAACAAATACAATACCAAAAAAAAAAAAAAATCCATGAAATCACTGAGGTGACAATGGAATGACAACTGGACACTGAACAGACTTTAAAGGTATATCACCCTAAAACACATGGAAAGAGAAGTTTATCTAAAACCCACATGAAAAAAAGTGCTATTGCATAAATAAGATTAGGAAACTTACCAGTCGACCTGATATTTCACGCAGTGCTTCTGCCCACCGAGATGTCGAATCTGCCATCATACTAACATTGTATCCCATATCTCTGAAGTATTCAGCTATTGTGATTCCTGAAAACTCAAATTCAAATAAGCTTAAAAGTTGCATCTCTGCATTATGGAACCACTTAATTAATTTCACGAGAAACAATATGCAAAACTAGATGACACTCTCAATCAACATCGTAACACATCATATGCACATCTAATCCAAGAAAAATACAACAGAAACAGTGTCGGTGTAGAAGCAAAAATTGAGCAAAGAAAGTTAGAGGGCACTTTCTTTAGCAGGTTTCACGGGAAAGGGGACAATGTAGACTCATTATAACAAGCTGACTTCTGTCCATCTGCAAGTGCCCCCAATAAAAAACTTTGTTCTAACTACTATAATTAACAGTAATTGTGTGCCTACTAAAAGACAATGCAAACCAAACAAAACAAAAAGAAAAGATACATAACAAATGGTAGACGACACCAATAAATACCAATAACAAATTTAAAACCTTAACTGAAATAAATTATGGGTTTAAAGAATACATTTCACCAAGACAATTGTAATTCCATACAATATCACATAAAAGCAAAAATGTATTCACCTGTATAAATAGAAGCCTCACGAGCAGCCACAGGCATGTTTGAAGTGTTGGCCACAAGTGTAGTACGTTTCATGACAGATTCCTCCCGGCCATCAGGTAGTGTCATTGTCAGTTGAGGGAAATCCATGAGGACCTGAATAGTTTGGGATTCTAGATTAAACATCTCTAAAAAATATGTTGAATAAAAACAGACCATGAAAAGAAGCACAGTCACATACCTCTGCCATTTCATTTCCTCTTTCCCCACAGCCAACATAAACCACAGTGTCGGAGTTAGAGTACTGCATTTACATATCAATGCAACTAAATAAGTCATCGCGAGCTTGATGTCTAATGACTATTTCCAGCATCCCCAAATTTCAAAGGATACCCAAGCACATGAAACAAGCAAATTCACCTTGGAAAGAGCTTGACTAATAACTGTTTTTCCACAGCCAAATGCACCAGGTATGGCACAAGTACCACCAAGAACCGAGGGGAAAAGTGCATCAAGAACACGCTGATATAAAACGAAGTCGCAAGGAACACCAAATTTTCAATATGAATAATTCATAACTACGAAGCCAAGAAGAACAGGCAACAGGATTACTTTCTAAATTAGTTACCTGCCCGGTAAGAAGGGGAGTATCAGCAGCAAGTTTTGATGCCACAGGCCTAGGTGTACGTACAGGCCAAGTCTGCAGATATGTAGGATACAAATTAACTATGTTCTCCAGTTGGAATACAAAAATTTGGAGCAAATTGAAATCGGCAAGTAAAAATAAAAATTAGAAGGCCGGCTACCTGAAGCATGGTAAATTGCTTTTTGACACCTTGAAATTCAAGCTCAAGGACAGTGTCCTGCATATACNTTCTGCAGATATGTAGGATACAAATTAACTATGTTCTCCAGTTGGAGTACAAAAATTTGGAGCAAATTGAAATCGGCAAGTAAAAATAAAAATTAGAAGGCCGGCTACCTGAAGCATAGTAAATTGCTTTTTGACACCTTGAAATTCAAGCTCAAGGACAGTGTCCTGCATATACACAAGAAAAGTCCACGCACTGAATCGTATAATTCAAATAGTCATGGCATGGCTAAGATTAAATATCGTCTCATGGATCGAGATTATAAAATTTTCCACTTTCATCCATTAAATAATATTTAAGTACTTGCAAAGTCTGTTTTAAATTGTCAAGTTGGAAATAGTTATTTACCAAAATCGGATTATANCGCACTGAATCGTATAATTCAAATAGTCATGGCATGGCTAAGATTAAATATCGTCTCATGGATCGAGATTATAAAATTTTCCACTTTCATCCATTAAATAATATTTAAGTACTTGCAAAGTCTGTTTTAAATTGTCAAGTTGGAAATAGTTATTTACCAAGGTTGGATTATAAGTTATTAAATGGTAAAATGAATAAAAATTTAAAATTTGAAGGTCAGTTACAAAAATGCAAGGACTCCAAAAGCCCAATGCAATTTCCCAACCAGAAAAAGGAATAAAAAAGAAAGAAAATGCAAAAAGACACCATGACATCTGTTTTGAATACCACATAGGCTAGTGACAGGTCTGACTCGCCAAGTTGCCAGTTAGAAGAAGTCAGATTCTCTAAATAGTAGCAATTGCATGACAATATCATTTATTTTGAGGAAAGTACAGGACCTTTATGATTAATTAAAAAAAGCTGATCAAAATGGCATGGCAACCATAACAAGCCTACCTTCAACGAGTACTGACCAGCTGGTGCAATGTAGGTTATCTTTCCCATGGCATCAGGAGGAAGCACTACATGGTGCTGCATTAAACTGTTCTCAAAAACAGTCTGCAATAAGAATCAGCCAGCAAAGACTTAGATGTAATGTAACTTAACAAATGCTGTTGCAACAGCATATATTAGAAAAGACTTTCAAGTTTCTAAACTTGAGTTGAGTTGTATCAAACTTACAGCATAGAAATCTCCACCTGTCAAAAGATCTCCCTCGCCTGACACCAGCATATATATTAGATTANTAGAAAAGACTTTCAAGTTTCTAAACTTGAGTTGAGTTGTATCAAACTTACAGCATATAAATCTCCACCTGTCAAAAGATCTCCCTCGCCTGACACCAGCATATATATTAGATTAATAAGCATTAGCCCCCATTCCCCAAGCATTTTAAATAAGGTTAAAAGAATATTAAAATGCCTCTAAATAATTGAACTACAATGCTTCAGAATTACCTATTTTTTTAGGATTGAATTCCCAAAGTATGTCTTTGTCAAGGGCTGGGACGGCGACACCACGAGGGATATAGACATCGCCAGATATTCTTGCAATGGTCTTCAGAGGCCTCTGCATAAATATTGGGAAAAAAGGAGAAAAGGGGCCACCATTAGGTACCAGTTCCTCTGTAAGAAAGGCTAACAATCAAGATTAATTACAAAAACATGTTTAGACAAATTGTAAGCAGAAAATTCACATACCTGAATCCCATCAAAAATATTTCCCAATATTCCAGGACCCAACTCTACCGAAAGAGGCTGTAGAATCAATCGAGAAGTCAATTTTGGTGCAACTACTGCAGAAATCTGTAACAATCCTAATGCAGTGCTCAAAACTACAGATGACACAACACAATTACCTTGTGTGTTCGTAAAACAGGATCATTCACCGTCAACCCAGCTGTTTCTTCATACACTGAAATAAAATTGATAATTATGTTATTGCGAACATTGAGGTCCTTTAGTTCTACCATATTCCAGATTAGGTGAGGCAGGAAAATGGTAGAAATTTGACAGAGAGAAGTAAATGAAAAGTATATTAATGCCTTACTATAGTTTCATGAAGGCCATGCTAAACAAGGTGAACACATGTCTTAACAGAAAATAATGAGTTTGCAAGGAATCTCAAAAAGGATAATTACCTTGGATTGTAGCAGAATCTCCTTCCAACCGGATAATTTCCCCAATAAGGCTGTCATGTCCAACTCGAACCAGTTCGTACATAGCAGCCCCTGCCATTCCATCAGCAACAACAACTGGACCAGATACCTATCGAACAACACACAATATGCAGGCAAGATTATGAGAGAGAGAGAGAGGAATAATTTGAGATAAAAAAAAAAATACGCCAATTGAAGCACTAAAAATTATCTACAGTGGGCAGGCTACACATAATTAGAACGCAGAAGACAAAGTGATCTCTTGTTGCGCATAACACAAATTTCGAGTACCCACTTAATCAACTCTAAATCAACATAATAACAAGGCAGAGAATGCAAAAACTCCAAATCCAAAATCTAACAGAGTTCTCGTAATNGCATAACACAAATTTCGAGTACCCACTTAATCAACTCTAAATCAACATAGTAACAAGGCAGAGAATGCAAAAACTCCAAATCCAAAATCTAACAGAGTTCTCGTAATAGCTGTTACAATCAAGATCGGTTAAAACACTAGATTTTAGTTCGATACCCTAGGCACATCCCCAAAGCAAAACATATCATTTCCAACCATCTAACAAACTCTGATGATTAGAACTATAAATATTACTTCACCAAATCAAATAACTCGAAGTTTCCAATATAAAAACCGAAACTAAGCATATCTAATCATATAAAGCACACACAAAAGATCTGGAGGCTCCGAAAGTACTGAAATCTGGAGGCTCCGAAAGTACTGAACTGAGCTCTGACCACACATGTAAAACTTACAGAATAACACACAAAATCGGAATCGATCAAAGTAGAATTTTACAAGAAATTGAACAGATCAAAGAGNTTCGGGTCCCTGTGCCTTCATGGAGTTGAAGACATCACCCAGTTGATTTTGTACCTCCTTTATCTTCTCGTCCCAATGATTNTTTTCCAATATAAAAACCGAAACTAAGCATATCTAATCATATAAAGCACACACAATAGATCTGGAGGCTCCGAAAGTACGGAAATCTGGAGGCTCCGAAAGTACTGAACTGAGCTCTGACCACACATGTAAAACTTATGGAATAACACACAAAATCGGAATCGATCAAAGTAGAATTTTACAAGAAATTGAACAGATCAAAGAGCAACATGATAAAGCTTTTCAATCTGAAGTACACATACACGTCAATGAAATGGTAAGAAGATCAATAAAAGTTGGATCAAATTCATTCCCAGTGTGAAATCAAAGATATAAAGAGATGAAATGAAGAGTGATACCTTGCGAACGTATCCATACTCGCTCTCTTTCTCGGAGTCTTCGAAGGTGGTTATTGTCGCTCCGTAAACCGACGGCATTTTGGGGGAAGAGATCGGATGAAACGGACTAAAATACTTTCAACAATCAGAAAACTCCAAGATCCGATCTGATCAAATCCTTCAGCGTTTCGAAATCCAAATCCTATACAAATTGAGGAGAGAGAGTGAGAGAGAGAAGGTCTGGTGCATCGCAGATGGGAAGAACCAACAGAGGAAGAGACGAGAGAAAACGTGATTATGATACCTGTAATACGAGGACAGTATAGGGCCAATGGGGGGGAGTGCTTAAGCGTTACACAGCCCAGAACACGTTTAATGCTTTACCCAATCATTTTTGGCCACGTCATTGCTTGTTTGATTCCCCTTATTTGATTTTTTTTTTTCCGTTTTGGGAAAGTTTAATTCTCACCATTGCCTCTCGAATTTAATTGATAACTTAGGGAGNTTACACAGCCCAGAACACGTTTAATGCTTTACCCAATCATTTTTGGCCACGTCATTGCTTGTTTGATTCCCCTTGCAACGTTTGATTGACTGGCCTTATTTGATTTTTTTTTTTTCGGTTTTGGGAAAGTTTAATTCTCACCATTGCCTCTCGAATTTAATTGATAACTTAGGGAGAATTATATGCAGTTTTATTATTTAATAACTCAAATTCTTTGATATTTGAAATATTATACAAAATTTTTCTAAAATTTGTATGCACGTAACACTTAGATTCTTATTGTAAATAAATTATACTTAAATCCCCTAAAGTTTATAAACAAATATTACTTAAACCTCTTAAATTTAAAATGTTATATTTAAANTTAAGATTTGTATGCACGTAACACTTAGATTCTTATTGTAAATAAATTCGATAATAAATTATACTTAAATCCCCTAAAGTTTATAAACAAATATTACTTAAACCTCTTAAATTTAAAATGTTATATTTAAATAAAAAATATTTCAATCAAATATAATATTTTATATTTTATAATTAAAATTCATATTCTATTGTACTATTTATTGAAATAAAATCAAAAATAAAAATTTATTTTTTCTTAAATTTTTTAATTATTATACAATTATATTATTTATTGAAATTTAATTTGGTTATTTAAAAAANTTTTATAATTAAAATTTATATTCTATTGTACTATTTATTGAAATAAAATCAAAAATAAAAATTTATTTTTTCTTAAATTTTTTTAATTATTATACAATTATATTATTTATTGAAATTTAATTTGGTTATTTAAAANATTAAAATTCATATTCTATTGTACTATTTATTGAAATAAAATCAAAAATAAAAATTTATTTTTTCTTAAATTTTTTAATTATTATACAATTATATTATTTATTGAAATTTAATTTGGTTATTTAAAAAACCAAATTAAAATATCAAACTACCCGAGTTAAAACTAAAAAATGTTGTGTTCATTATAGTTTGATCCCTTGTTTAATTTTTTAACTTTATTTTAATAGATAGTATAATTATATACTAACTATGATTTTTTTTAAAAACACTAAATTTTTATTTTTGATTTTATTTTAATAAATGTATAGTAGAACATGAATTTTGATAATAAATTTTATGTTCTATTATAAAATGACTTAGATCATTTATTTAATTTTTTAGTTTTATTCCAATAGATAATATAATTGTATACTAATTACGATTTTTTAAGAAAAATTTGAATTTTATTTTAATAAATGATNATAAATTTTATGTTCTATTATAAAATGACTTAGATCATTTATTTAATTTTTCAGTTTTATTCCAATAGATAATATAATTGTATACTAATTACGATTTTTTAAGAAAAATTTGAATTTTATTTTAATAAATGATACAGTAGAACATGAATTTTGATCGTAAATTTCAAAATATTTGATTGGAGTATTTTTTATTTAAATATAATATTTTAAACTTAAGGTGTATAAATATTATATACTTACAAACTTTAGAGAATCTAAGTGTAATTTATTAACTAATATATTTACAGTAGAAGTCTAAGTGTTTCGCGTGTACAAACCTCTGATAATTTATGTGTAATATTTCAAATGTCAAGAGACCTGAATTATTAAGTGACAAAATTTAGGGNCTAAATATTATATACTTACAAACTTTAGAGAATCTAAGTGTAATTTATTAACTAATCCTACTCTAAGTGTTTCGCGTGTACAAACCTCTGATAATCTATGTGTAATATTTCAAATGTCAAGAGACCTGAATTATTAAGTGACAAAATTTAGGGGACCTGCGTATAATTCTCCCTAACTATTATTAGGGTGATTATATAAGTTTGAAATTTTCTAAGTAATATAAGATTCGGGATNGGGACCTGCGTATAATTCTCCCTAACTATTATTAGGGTGATTATATAAGTTTGAAATTTTCTAAGTAATATAAGATTCGGGATAAAATACACTTTTAGTTTTCAAAGTACGTTTAGTGTCTATTTGGTTTTTAATATTCCAATTATATTTATTTAATCCTTAAGGTTTTTAATTTGTATTTAAGTGGTCAAATTCTAAATGTACGTCAGAAAATTGTGACGGTTCTAATCACATGATTCTTAATTTTTTATTTATTTGATCCCTAAAGTTTATAATTTTTATGTATTTGATCCTTAAAGTTTTTAATTGTGTCTATTTAGTGTAATCTAATTGGCGTGTGACCAGAGATCTAACAATTTTTAACAAACGTTTCGAAATTGGACCACATAAATACAAATGTATGAACCTTATACACTAAATAGACATAATTGAAATATTTGGGACTAAATAGACACTTTATGCATTCTTTAAAGAGTAAAAATATATTTTACAATACGACTCTCANTAGACATAATTGAAATATTTGGGACTAAATAGACACTTTATGCATTCTTTAAAGAGTAAAAATATATTTTACAATACGACTCTCACCGTAAAACAACCATTATAATTTACACTTACTCTTTTCTCTCTCTCTCTCTCTGATCTCTCTTATTTTCTATATGTTCACTTTAATTTTAAATTATGTAATTAATTAAAAAATAAAAATGTTTTATTAGTTAAAATATTAATATTGCACAATAAATACTCAATTTTTTGTATTACAAACTTCTGTAGGCACCTAGTTATTGCTAATTTTATAATAAAAAAACTAACAATTGCACACAATTTGAATCTGACCGTGATTAATGGGTCGGGCAAACGTTTTTAGACTTGATTTGGGCCAAGCTCAGTTATTGATGGACTAGACTGACTCAACCCGAGTCGTTGGCCTCTCATCGAAGCCTGCGTTATGCAACTGTGCAAGGCAAGACAGCCTAATCTGGGCTGCAAAGCACAATTCTTTCGATCGGGTCCAATGAAACCTAGGTCTGGAGAATCCGCATTTGGTGTTTTGATACATTTCGAATCCACACCATTAACCCGTATGAGTAGCCAGCAGTATAAAGTTAGACTTATACGAATCGTTTTGACTTGTTAGTTGCAAGTACAACCGTAGAAAGTTTATTTAGTCCCATTCGGTCTATAAAAATAGAACGAATATCAAGGGGAATGTAATGGAGATCACGGTTATCCACAACTCGAGTTTGTCGATTATTTTAAATAAAAATCTGCATATTAATGTTATTATCAAATTAATTTTTTTTAAATCTTATATTGGTAGTATATGGTATTGGGTGGTCCCACGTATTTAGTAGCCATTTACAACTTGCAGCATTTCAGATCCCAAACGCAAACTTTTAAGACCGCACACAATCAAATCAAATCAAAGTCACCAAACATGTGGTCCCAAATAGTTTTGGATGTTGGTTTAACGGGAAGTGTGTTTTTTAACTAATTTACGTATATTTTGATTAATTTAATAAAAAAGATTTTATATGTCAAAATTAAAATATTTATAAAAATAAATATATATATAATAATACGTTATTGATGGACCGTATCTAATATTGAGACTTATTATTAGTTCATTGATTCCAATAAATTAGGTTATTAGACTTATAGGTTTTAGTTTTAAGAATTATGGTCCCACTTGTCATCATGCATAACTCTATGATTGGAACCCATGCAACGTGTCAGCTGCTAATCCATAATAAGGACTGAAATGTTGATGTCAGGTAATACACACAAGGCAATCTCAGCATTCCTTTTAGTTTTGCGTGGTGGTGAAGGCGGCAGCTTACCACCAAAGCTCTGCAATGCGGTGCTGCTGGTTGTATGTATTGTCAATTTGGTAACTCTTTCAGTTGCCGTCTCTCTCTCTCTCTCTCTCTCTCACTCACTCTCTCTCACTCACTCTTACTAAGAAACGCCTTTCCTCTTTCTCTCGGTACGCTATTCACTTCCCAACATTCTCTGCATCACTTAATTTTGTTAAAATTTCACGTTTGATCAATTCCAACCTTGAGTGAAATTCTTCTTTGTTTCATGTGTTTTTGCTGGAAAACTTGTATTTTTAATCTGCACTTGTTTCGATTTTTTTTCTGTGGTGTTATGTTCTTGTTCGAAATCAGATGAACTAGTAGTGTTTTCATGTTGTAGTATAGTATTTGATTTACTCGATAATAGTTGAAACCAATGTTTGAAGACTAAGTTCTCTTTAATCTTATCAATATGTTCCTAAATTTACATAGGTTTGTGGAATAACCACTTTTGTTGAGGTAATTGTATCTAATAATCACTTGAATTGAAATGGAATTGTGCAATACTTTAACAACAATTGATATTGTAGTTAGTGCTATAACAAAAAAGTAATATTGATGTTAGTGTTTTAATTAGCAATTGTGTTGATTTTTGATACTTCCAAATGATTGAACATTCTGAAGGCATGGGAAGAACTAAGGTATTAGGAAAACTATAACAAGTAAGGCTAAAGTGGCCATTGTATGGTTCCTATTTCTATCAGGGTGAAGCTTTTTCCTTTTCCCTACATAGTCTAGACCATTGTATGTGCAAACTTTTGATGTAATGCATTGTTTTTTTGATAGAAACCAGTAAATGCAATTAGTATATTAAAATTATAAATCCTATGTAAGGTCGATAAGACATCCAGCCCAAAGATAGCTGAAGTCAAACATCACAAAAGGAAAAAAATGCAAAATAAACATGCTACATACCACATGTGGCTTCCCAATTAGCAGGAATACAGAAAAGAGGGATATAAGCAAATTCCTTGACACTGATGCCCAAAAAGAAGCTAAAAAGAATATTCAATCCCATAAGTCTTCTTCCTCGTCACTTTTATCATAAAAGATTCTCGCTTTCCTTTCCAACCAAATCACTCAAATGGTAGCCAAAAAATAACATCGCCAAAGAGTCTTTATCTTTCTATTTCTACCCAAACCCGTAGCATTTATATTAATCATTGTAGACATGGATTTTGGCACCACCCAACATAGTCACCCAAATGGTAGCATTCAAATGAATCTTTGTAGACATGATGAAATGCATTATTGTGCTGCATTTGTTGTCATTGTCAATGATTGGTCCATTTTTGGTCGGTATTAAGACTGCATGTTCTTTTTGAATTGTCACTCATGAATTTTGTAGTTAAATAGTATCACATAGTTATGTAGTTTTATCAGTCAATTGAACTGGTATTTTCTTTTCTGACTTTGCAAGTGACCAGGATGAGACTTCATTAATAGGTTTAACCAGAGGAAGTAATAAAATGCCTCTCTACATTTGATAAAAATTGTTGTAATTGTTCTCTGTTCCTGTTCTGACTATAAGTAGTGTGTTTGATTCCTGGAAACATTATCGATGACTTTGAATCACTGTGACCGTTCTCTTGTAAAGTTCTTTTGAGTGGTAGAATTATTTATATTCAAAGCAACAACAGAGGTTTTGGTAATATTGCAGAGTTATATGCAGTTAAACATAATGTCAAGGAATGCTAAAACTCAATATCTTGCTCTTTCTTATTGTTCCCTCCTTTTCAATCCGTTCTAAAGAGCCATTGGCATATTGTGTTATTGTTCACCCTTCTTGAACAGTTTTGATTTTATAGTGGTGATTTGGCCTTCTGTTATTCAAATTCTGCATCCTTCACCGATTCTTGAATTTGCCACTATTCCCATTCTTCTTGCTGATATGTACTGTGTAGCTCTGCAGCCTAATGAGAAATGATAGCAGAAGCACCACATTATTTTCTGCTGATTGTCCTTTTGGAAAGCTTCCAGATCATCTACTAGTAGAAATATTTTTCCGGGTTCCCATCTTAGACTGGGTTCAAATATCTTGTGTTAAGAAACAATGGGCTACACTGTTTCGGGAAGAATTCTTCTGGCATGCTGCCCTTGTCAGGAGTTTTCCTTCGGCTGGGCAAGCCAAAAGGTGGCCTGGACCTATTCCTCGAGGAATGAGCAAAAGGTAGATTTCAGTTGAGTGCTCCCTCTCACTATCTGTATTGTGTCAGGTTGCCAAGGAGAATTTAACAAGATTGAAATTTTACTGTGATCCTTATAATGTCAAAGAGTTGCAACAATTATTTCCATGATTTTCTTATTGTCAGCGAAGAGGTCCAGGAAAATTATTGAAATAGGACAACTTTATAAAATAAAATAAAAATAGGGGCTGGGACTGTGAACAGTATTCGGGAACAGTAATGACTAGGAACAATAGCGGGAACAGTATTTTTGGTTAGGAATCACTCCTAGGTTCTGTAGGCATTACACCTAGGGTTAGAATTGCATCACACAACTCAAGAAACAAATAATTGCTGAAAATTCTAAATATCTCTCTATCTTTTATTAAAAGTTACACTCACTATATATAGAGTTCCAAGTACTCTTAATCCCAAAAGTTTAGGATTCCAAGTCTCTAGGACTTCAAAGACACCAGGTCTCTACAAATTAGAAAACTAAAATAAACTAATATTAGGACTTTAAATTTTAGAATATTCAACACTAGAATTTGACCCAAAATTATAAAAAAATCCCTGACACTAAAAAATATTAAAAGGACATATAAAATACTAATACTAGCAAATTGACTTAAAATAAGAATGCAAGGTTCCATATGGATCTCTGTCTTAATGGGAAGTCAATTCCATTATCTTTCACATCTTTGAATTTGCATTTTGCATCAATTACTTTGTTATCATGTTGTCAAAATTATTTGTCTTCCTTTTCTTATGCAACTATTTTCTTGGAGAAAGAATATCAGATGCAAGATTGCCTTCCAGTGGCAAAAAACCTATTGCGACAACACTTGTTTTGTGAGGATTGCTTGAAAATCATGTCATCATGACTTATTTAGAGCATTGTGTTCGAATTCTACTTCTATTACATTGACTAGTATTAGCTTGTTTATGAGGCAGGCAACTGATTGAATGTTTGCTTCGAAATTGATTTCAATTTATACAGTTGTTGCAAGAGTAAGTTATGACCTTCAGCAAATGGATGCATTAAGAAACTCATGCCTGTGATATGATGGTTCAAAACCATCATATTCATGAAATGAGCAATATGATGCTGTTTTATAATGTTTCTTTTCTTACGTAGCACTGTTTGATGTGTTAGTACCGCCCAGCTACATAAGAAATCCAATTTCTCTCTCACATATTAAGTCAATCTTTCTTCTGGATTTAAATATTGAATTGATTTTGCTTAAAACGATTGATATTATGATGTTACCGCCATATTTTTCAGGAGGTATGCTGCATTATATGTCAGTAAACATATTTTTTCACTGGATGGGGAAATGGACGAGATAGTAGGCCATACATATTTGTATCTGAAAGAGCAGCTTGAAATTTCGACCATGCCGCCTCCATCTGGGATACTTCATGGAACCATAATCGGTGCAGTCTTGACTTATGTTATTTTATTTTTTTTGTATCGTGAATTTTTATATTAAGGGTTGATCAAACCCTTCTCTTTTGCATTAGTATGATGATTTGATTAGAGATATATAAATAGAGATCTGGTGGTGTATGCTATTGAATGTGATATGTATTTTTGACTTGGTGGACTGTATTAGTGACCTTGACACCAGTAATCATCGTGAAAAGATGCTTTCAGGATCAAAGGAAATGTAGTACATAGGACAGACTTTTTAGTAGTTATGGATGATTGGACCTATATAGAAAAATGCCCTATAGTTTATGATTATTGTTAAGTGTAGAGGATTAACACAATATATTAGAGACGAACAGAGAGAGGTCAAAAAGAATTATACATACACCCTCTTACTATTAATAATTTACTCACACACCCTTTTACTATTAATAATTTACACATACTACCCTAATATTCTTAACATTCCCCCTCAAGGTGGACTATATATATCATATAATCTAAACTTGAAATAAATCGCTGTAAGATGTGTGCGACTCAATGCTTTGATAAATATATCTGCAAGCTGATCTTCAGATTTCACAAATGGAGTTGTAATTTCCTCGGCTACTATCTTGTCCCGAATAAAGTGACAATCAACTTCAATATGTTTGGTTCTCTCGTGAAACACTGGATTGACAACGGTATGGATAGTTGTCTGGTTGTCATAGAATAACTGTAAAGGAAGTTAAACTGGCAATCCAATTTCCTGGAGGAAGTGTAGTATCCAAGTCAACTCACTCGTCGTATGCGCCATTGCCCTATACTCAGTCTTAGCATTGGATCTTGCTACCACAGATTGTTTATTACTTTTTCATGAGACAACGTTACCTCCTGAGAAAGTACAATAACCAGTGATTGATCTCTGATCAAAAGGAGAGTCAGCCCAATCAGCATCTGAGAAACCTTCTACTCTAAGATGTCCATTAGCTCGATATAACAGTTTAAGTCCAGGAGCACGTTTGAGATATCGCAGAATACGAGTAACTACCTCCCAATATGGTAT